AAGAGCTGACGTTTTGATGAGCATATGCGAGGGTACAGTGATAACACTTGATTAGAAAAGATTAGAGGTGACATTTGTTGAGCATCTGCCCTTGCTTTGTTTTCACTGGCACACAAGCATGTCTGTCTGTCTATTTGTCTGTCAAGCTCTGTCTATCTGTCTAGCTCTCTGTCTCAGAGAGAGCCACAAGACTGCGTCATCACATTTACTTACATCTTCAAGCAGAGTATAGCGCTTTGTCTGGATTTTTTGGGTTATCCTAGGTAATTTACACTATGTATACTTGTATTTATGTGTACCTGTGAGACAGAGATAGACAGAGACAGATTCAAAGAGATAGACAGATAGACAAAGACAGATAGAGACACACACATAGAGATAGACAGAGAGAGACAGAGACAGAGAAAGATAGATATACAGAGATAGACAGATAGACAGAGATCGACAGACCCTAAACTTAGGGTTAACCCTTTCAGGGTTGGTGACGTACTAGTACAGCTTGCACGTTCAGGGTTGGTGCGTACTAGTATGCATAAATTCTAGCGCCTTCAAATGTAGGGAGAGAAATCTGGTGGGTGTACATATGAAAGAATGGGTCTATGTGGTCAGTGTGTGCAGTATAAAAAAAATCCTGCAGCACATAGTGCATAATGAGAAAAAGAAACTCCGACCGTGTTTTTGTTTTAAAACTGATTTTGCACTATATTTTCGTATGCTATTTATGGTTGTATTCTAGTTTTCCTGGTCTCGTTTTATAGAATGGAAGACATATTATGGAAATTGAGATGATTTTGATTGGTTTCACAATGAAAAGTACCTTGAAATTGAGCTCAAAGTAGCAGAAATGTTCGATTTTTGCCAAAGTTTCAAAAGTAAATAAATCAAGCCATGTGTCCAAAACATATCAACTGATGAGTCTAATATTCTTTCACAAGTGCGTTGGTATTATTTATACCATTTCTACACTAATGCAGTAGTCTGCATAACAGTAAATCTTCTATTTTTTGTGAGAATAAAAATTCAAAGTGGAAAGCAAAAGAAATGTAACAGAGGCCTGGGGACGTGACTATTGAACAGAGGAAATGTTATTTTAGTGTCAGGAATGTCTGTCTTGTTTATTCTGGACCCTATTTGGAAATTGGCATCTTTTGAAATTTTTGTGAAATTGGCAAAATTGCCAATTTCTGACCACTTTATTGGATATTTGAAATTGGTAAATGGGTGGTTTCTTGTACTCATTTGATAGAAAAAAATGGAGTTCTAGTGAAATAGTTATGATTTTTGTCGACTGGTACATTGGAATTGTCCAAAAATAGGGCTCAAAGTGGGTGAAATCACCGATGTGTAAACATCGTTGAGACTGTTAACTTCGCGAGAGCATAATTCCATAAGTTTTCCATCAAATTTCATACTTTTGGTGTCATTATGATTGGGAAAAGATTCTCTTATCATTTCATAAGAATTTTTTTTTTTTTTTTTTTTTTTTTTTTTTAAATTTCCAACCCTGAGAATAAGTTTAGGAAGGGCCTGCCAGCCCTGAAAGGGTTAACATCACTTTCTTCTTAAAAGAGGAGTGTTAATATGACATTACATCAGTGAATCCTTGGTGTTTGCTGCACTGTTTGCTCTATCTGGCGCTCAGTTTAACTGGTGCTCCCACAAGGTACTAAGTGGTCCCAGATTTTTTTAATATGGTGCACACTGAGTGTTAAGACCCATTCTATGCTGACCAGGCATCTCAGGGCAATTGTGCCAAATTTGGAGTCAGGAAAATTAAAACATATATATATATACCTTTGGGGTGCTACGGCTACGCATAAGGACATACAATGGACCCTCGCCTAACGATATTAATCTGTTCCTGAGAGCTCATCATTAGCTGAAATCATTAGCCAAATTAATTTTCCAATTAAGAAACAATGGAAATTGAATTAATCCGTTCCAGACAGCCAAAAGTATTAAAAAAATTTTTTTCGTGAAATATACATTTCCCTACAAAGAAAACAATGAGACATGCACAATAACTACATAAATAAATGTTAAAATTACAATTACCTTTATTGAAGAGTATTGATGAGTGATGAGACACTGTTTTTCTTGAACACTCTGGGATTTTCAAAGTGATACATGAGTAAAGGCTTCACTTTGCAATCCCCACTAGCATTACAACAAAACATGAGAGTTAGCCTGTCTTTCATAGGCTTGTGTCCTGGGAGTGCCTTTTCCTCCTGAGTAATGTAGGTCCTGTTTGGCATTTTCTTCCAGAACAGGCCTGTTTCTTCACAATTGAACACTTGTTGGGGTTGGAATTTTTCAGCTTCACCATGCCTTATCACACTGTGTATGCCACTTCAATTCTTAAATCTCTCAAACCAACCTTTGCTGGCCTTAAATTCACCAATATGAGCACTAGTTCCAGGCATTTTTTCCTGTTCACCTGGGTGTTAGTCGACTGTTGTGGGTCGCATCCTGGGAGACAAGATTAAGGACCCCAATGGAAATAAGTTAGACAGTCCTCGATGATGCACTGGCTTTCTTTGGTTATCCTGGGTGGCTAACCATCTGGGGCTAATTGTTTCTTGGTAATTGTTTCCCGTTAAGCCACGCCAATAATAGTCTCTCCACATCTTCGAGTAGTACAGCTGATGGTGGTGGAGCAACAACTGATGGTGGTGCAGCAGCAGAAACAGCTGACTGTGGTGCAGCAACAGCTGACTGTGGTGCAGCAACAGCTGACTGTGGTGCTGCAACAGCTGACTGTGGTGCTGCAACAGCTGACTCTGATGCAGCAACAGCTGATGGTGGTGTAGCAGCAGCTGACCGTGGTTCAGCAACAGCTGACTGTGGTGCAGCAGCAGCTGACGGTAGTGCAGCAGGAGCTGACCATGGTGCAGCAACAGCTGACCATGGTGCAGCAACAGCTGACCGTGGTGCAGCAACAGCTGACCATGGTACGATAGTATGTATTTCTCACCCTTTTTACATATGATCGCTTAAGAGATGGTATCTCCTGCTATCTGTTTTTCGTTTATCAACACCAATAACAGTCTCTCAACATCTTCGAGTACTTGCGATCTCTGTTTCGAAAACAAACTTGCACCTTTTGCAAGAACAGCTTCCTTGATTGCTGTTTTGTTTGCCACAATAGTAGCGATGGTTGATTGGGGTTTGGTATACAACCTGGCCAGCTCCAAGACATGCACTCCACTGTCGTACTTAACAATGATCTCTTTCTTCATTTCCATAGTAATTTTCACCCTTTTTACCACAGGGTTGGCACTAGAAGCTTTCTTGGGCCCGTGGTGACTTACTTTGCAGCTATGATCACTAAAAACACTGTGATAATATGAAATGTACCGAATGTGTGCGTGGCTGTGACTGCACTGGCTGACTTGTAAACTCTGGTACCCACGGGGCAGCTGAGGCGTGCTCAGGCCACAAGTGGGATGCGTCCCGGAGGAATCACGTGAGGTGAGGCAAAATTTTTGCGTTAAAATGTATCGTATGGCGGATTTAACGTAATACGATGCCATCATAAGGCAGGGGTCCACTGTGTATATACACGTTGGACCGTTTAGGTGTTAGGTACAGGTTTTTCTGCTTCATCCTCATCCTGTCATCTAAATGGGAATTAAGTTTCTCCAACATTTCTTTATTTTTGTTCTTTGTCATCATCTAACAGTTCATTTGTTTTTTTTCTGTACATCTTCAATTTTCCGGACCTAAGTTATTGCTGAGAGAGAAACCTGTGAAGTTATTCGCTACAATAGGCCATAATTTTCCCTAGCCATCGTTTAGTGTTGGATGGGCTCTTCATCTTATAACACTTTAACTTTAATTTGTGTGAAATTGGCAAAATTACTAAATTCTGACCACTTTATTGGATAGTTGAAATCGGTAAATGGGTGATTTCTTGCACTCATTCGATAGAAAAAAATGGAGTTCTAGCGAAATATTCATGTTTTTTTGTCGACTAGTACAGTGGAATTGGCCGAAAATGGGGCTCAAAGTGGGCAAAATTGCCGATGCGTAAACATCGCCAAGACCGCTAACTTCGCGAGAGCATAATTCCATAAGTTTTCCATCAAATTTCATACTTTTGGTGTCATTATGATTGGGAAAAGATTCTATCTTTTCATGAGATTTTTTTTTTTTAAATTTGGCCGACCCTGAGAACGAGTCTCGGAGAGGGCCTGTCGACCCTCAAAGGGTTAATGGGTGTTAGTGCATTAGCAATGCTAAATTTAAATCAGAACTCTGATATTCTAGTTTTGAACTGTAATCCACTTTTGCGATGAGTTTGTGCATGGCCCTGCATTTGTAGTGGCACTGAAAAGTCTTAATCACTCCTTAATCCAATGAATGTTGTATTTGGCAGTAAAAACAACCTAAACACATGGTTTTGGAAACTCCAAGATTTTAGGATTGCTATGGGAATTATGAAGAGTGAGGTGAACCTTGAGTGGAAAGTTCTATTACATATTAACTGCATCAATAAAATAATGTCTGAACTAATCAGTGGATAAGGCCTCACTCTTCCATGCTACCTTATTAGATAATCAAATACTGTATTAGGCAATATGCTTTTGGTTTTACATTTTAAAGCATGAGAATTCTGTGAGCAATAAATTATAGACTTGCACTTAACCCTTTTACTGTCCAGACCCCCAAAATTAAGTGCTCACAGTGTCTGGTTTAAAAAAAATCTCCTGGAAATGTAAAAAATCTTTTTCAGAAGGTCATGACACCAAAAAGATGAAATTTGATGGTCTGGGCACAATTTGTGCATTGGCAGTTTTGTAGACAGCCTTTACTGTCTGCACAGACAGTCTTTGCTGTCTGCCAGCTTAGTTCATATTTTGCAGCACTAAGGTGCTGCCCTCTAGCCAGCCCAAAGTCAGTGGGACGCTGGTCCCACACACTCTCACTCACTCAGTGGCCCAGCAGCAGTCAAGAAGGCCTACTAGCTCTCTCCCTCGTGGCCATGGCCCTACCGGACCATGGGCACAACACACAAGCCTGTGTACCCACCGTGGATCAGCAAACCATGTGGCTCACGAAGCCCTGTGGATCAACAAGCCACGTGGATCAGCATGCCACGTAGATCACAACACCACATGGATCCCGATGCCATGTGAGGTGTGGACAAAGCCACGTGGACCTACGAGCCACATGAGTTGCCAGATGTCCCAGACCTCATGCTGTGGTCTGCTGCCCACATCACATTGACGTCACCGATGCTGCTGCCCAGCTTCATGACTGTCACAATGTCTGCCTGATGTCACCTCGAGACGTCTTCTGACGTCACAGTGCTGCTGACATCACCTCGCGACATCACGCCTGACATCACATGATGTCATATTGAGTGTTCTAGTAATTATGTCAGTATTGTCGAGAAGATTGAGAGAAGATATATGTTGTGTAAATTAATTCCTCTCAGTCAGTGTTCTCACATGTTCGTGTATAGCTTAGTGTCAATTTTGTGCACAGAAAAGCATCATTTGCTAGTTAAGCCATGTTGTACCGCATGTACCGCGTGTGTGTGTGTAAAGTTTTCCGTGTGTCCAGTGTGGTCTGCGGCCAGACCCCTGAGTAGCACCGCTGTGTTAGTCACCCGGTGTGACCAGTGCGTTTGACAGCTGATATTAGTCAGCCTGAGCCCTGAGCCCCTTTGTACAGAAAGCTCTTATGCTCGTCGCTCATACATGTTCTGCAGAATCGTACCTGCTATGATTCCCATCGAGATTTGTTTCACTTCACCTCCAAACCTTCAGGGTGCAGTTATATGTAGAGAAACAAGTCTGGGGACACTTAGACTAACCTCTGCTATAACTCCAACTGTCGAGAGAATGACACTTGTCAAGCCACAGTTTAAGCCCTGTCGGCAGGCGCTGTGTCAGCCTTGTGTCACAAGCTTCAGTGAGCAGCCTGTACAAAGAAGATGTCACTTTGACTGCTAGCTCGCTCACTGCAGTCTGGTGTATGATGTTATGACTCCCAGATGTTTCGCCCAGTTGTCTCTGCCACGACTCGCTCCACGACTCACTCCACGCTCGCCGGCAGTGACAGCCCAATGACAGTACCAGTCGAGAAGTGTCCTCCTGAGTCGCTTGCCAGAAGTCCTGCCCAGTTGCCGAGTTTTGTCGGCGCCTCACTCGAGGGCACCTGCATGTCGTGCCCCAGGTTGAGTGAAAAACTGCAGTGACTCCTACGATGACTGCTTCACCGTTCTAGAGGAGACCGTACCCTGTTACGTCACAGCTCAGCCGCAGCGATGTCTCCTGTGTTGCAGTATCTGTCCAGACGCAGGAAGGCGTGCAGTGATGCCCTTTGACGCTCACTGCCTTTGACTATGATGTTTAGCACACCACATGTTTTTTTCTTCCCTCCCTGTAGGAAGTTTTTTTTCCATGTCCATATGTATATGTTTTTATTTTGTGTTCTGTGCCCTGTTCCTACGAGAGAGAGACCAAGTTTTTTTTACCACCAGTATTGTCGCGTCGGGATGATGCGAGGTAGGTGGCCAAGCGTATGTAGACAGCCTGTACTGTCTGCACAGACAGTCTATGCTGTCTGCCAGCTTAGTTCATATTTTGCGGCACTAAGGTGCTGCCCTCTAGCCAGCCCAAAGTCAGTGGGACGCTGGTCACACGCTCTCACTCACTCAACGGCCCAGCAGCAGTCAAGAAGGCCTACTAGCTCTCTCCCTTGTGGGTATGGCCCTACTGAGCCATATGCACAACACACAAACCTGTGTACCCACCACTACTTTGCAAATAAAAGAAAGAAGCCTCTGAAGATGTTTATCCTTGAACCCCGCTCTGCAAGAGCCACCAAACAAACTCATTAAACAGTTTTGCCAAATTTGAGCTCTATTTTAAGCCAATTCCACTGCTTAACTTGACTAAATTCTTAGCTATTTTACTCGTATGCATTCCATTCTATTGATTGAGCACATTTAACTGCCCATTCAACTATCAGAACTATGCTATAAAGTGCATAGAAGTCAGTAATTTGGCCGATTTTATGCAAAATTAAAAAAAAAATGAATTTAAAAACAGTGTTTAAAATACACAATGGAACTTTTAAGTTCTAAAACAACATTTCCTCTCTTCATTAATCATGTCCTCCCAGGCCTCACGCTGCTCCTTGCTTGTGCTCTGTCCGATCACATAGTTGCTCTACGCTCAAGAAGCCTCCCTTTGACCCCGCCAGGGTGGGGAATTTATATTCTACAAACGTCGCATCCTTTTCACAGTGCTGTTGCATTGTGTGAAAATCAAGCCTGTGAATGGTGCAATTAGTGACCCCTCGAAGCTAGCTTTAGCTACTGCCGTTAGGATCTGCCTGCAGGTCAAATTTACGGCAATCCACTCTCTGAAGGACTCCTTCATTGTCGTCTGCACAAATGACATGGAAGCATTAAAACTAATGGATGACTTTTCAATCAGGACCCTACAAACACAACAATTCACTATATCCCCGTCTCCATTCTTGAAGTCGAAATGTTCGGTCTTTGTGAAAAGACTGAACAGTATCGTCACCTCTCTCTCTACTGAAGCACTGAAGACATCTGTTGAGGAACAAAACACCTGGGCCTCGGTAGACAGCATCTCCAAGATCCCTAACGCCTCATCTATGCTAAAGATTACATTCTCAGATATCTCCATGGCTGCCCAAGCTCTCTCTGACGGTCTGGCCATCTCATATTACCACATTCACCCAAGTCATATAGAACAAGAACGTTTCACATACATCTCCCACTGCTGGACCTGCTATTCCTATAATCACACCACCAAGGACTGCCCCATCAAGGATAAGAAGTTTTGTTCAAAATGTGGGAATGATGGACACGATTTCAGATCCTGCACTATTACTACAGCACCAACATGTCTTAACTGCATGGGTAATCATCATACCCTTGCAGCTAAGTGCCCACTCAGGAAAGAAATCATATTGAAGAAAACTAAAGTTCTGAAGAACACCTCTAATTCACCGACATATGCTGCAATAACCAAACCACAAACTGACACTACCAAGACTACACGCCAATCTACAGGCACCATCGCACAGCAACTCCCTCTCTCCACTCCCCGACGGTGCTCCCTCCAAGTTGCTGTACTGCATGGTGTATGCACACCTTGCAAACGCAGCAAACCCCGGCACTTTCAACACCACTATTAATGAACTATTCCGTCTGAACAACATACCTGCCTTCAATTTTCCGAACTCCACACCTTCAGCAGACATCCTCAAGATCCTTCCCAACGCCCTGAACTTTACTGCACCTGCAGACCTGTCTCCTGCCCGAGCAACTGCTCCTGTAATTTCTATAACCACTTCACCGCTGACAAAGTTGATCATGCTGCCTCAACCACCGCCTCCCACCTCTCCACTGCTCCTGTCGACCCTCAGTCACCTGCTACCACCATTGTAGATTCACCCAATGAATCCATTCCAGAAGAGGAAGATAGTGACAACTCCAGTACACCCTCATGGGAGAACCTTACCTTCTACACTTCTTCAAATACTGACACCATGACCTGTACTGAACTCTACAAAAGCCTCTGTGCTGGAACAGTTAAGTATGCCTGTGAATCACCGCTTCATTTCACACTCACCCAAGTTCTTGAGTTCATCAAGCCTCTATGTTACACCTTCAATAACAAGGCTAAATTATACCACCTATCTAGGAGCAGCTTCAAAAAGTTTGAAAATGGCTCCATTGCTAACCTGCCTCCTCAGTTACTCTTATAACTCCCATATGTTGATGAAGATAGGGAAGCTGTGATTTCGTGTATAGGGCAAGGAGGAATAACATCTTGTAGGAGTGAGGAAGAGCCAGTTGTGAGTGTGGGGGAAGTTCGTGAGGCAGTAGGTAAAATGAAAGGGGGTAAGGCAGCCGGGATTGATGGGATAAAGATAGAAATGTTAAAAGCAGGTGGGGATATAGTTTTGGAGTGGTTGGTGCAATTATTTAATAAATGTATGGAAGAGGGTAAGGTACCTAGGGATTGGCAGAGAGCATGCATAGTTCCTTTGTATAAAGGCAAAGGGGACAAAAGAGAGTGCAAAAATTATAGGGGGATAAGTCTGTTGAGTGTACCTGGTAAAGTGTATGGTTAGAGTTATAATTGAAAGAATTAAGAGTAAGACGGAGAATAGGATAGCAGATGAACAAGGAGGCTTTAGGAAAGGTAGGGGGTGTGTGGACCAGGTGTTTACAGTGAAACATATAAGTGAACAGTATTTAGATAAGGCTAAAGAGGTCTTTGTGGCATTTATGGATTTGGAAAAGGCGTATGACAGGGTGGATAGGGGGGCAATGTGGCAGATGTTGCAAGTGTATGGTGTAGGAGGTAGGTTACTGAAAGCAGTGAAGAGTTTTTACGAGGATAGTGAGGCTCAAGTTAGAGTATGTAGGAAAGAGGGAAATTTTTTCCCAGTAAAAGTAGGCCTTAGACAAGGATGTGTGATGTCACCGTGGTTGTTTAATATATTTATAGATGGGGTTGTAAGAGAAGTAAATGCGAGGGTCTTGGCAAGAGGCGTGGAGTTAAAAGATAAAGAATCACACACAAAGTGGGAGTTGTCACAGCTGCTCTTTGCTGATGACACTGTGCTCTTGGGAGATTCTGAAGAGAAGTTGCAGAGATTGGTGGATGAATTTGGTAGGGTGTGCAAAAGAAGAAAATTAAAGGTGAATACAGGAAAGAGTAAGGTTATGAGGATAACAAAAAGATTAGGTGATGAAAGATTGAATATCAGATTGGAGGGAAGAGAGTATGGAGGAGGTGAACGTATTCAGATATTTGGGAGTGGACGTGTCAGCGGATGGGTCTATGAAAGATGAGGTGAATCATAGAATTGATGAGGGAAAAAGAGTGAGTGGTGCACTTAGGAGTCTGTGGAGACAAAGAACTTTGTCCTTGGAGGCAAAGAGGGGAATGTATGAGAGTATAGTTTTACCAACGCTCTTATATGGGTGTGAAGCGTGGGTGATGAATGTTGCAGCGAGGAGAAGGCTGGAGGCAGTGGAGATGTCGTGTCTGAGGGCAATGTGTGGTGTGAATATAATGCAGAGAATTCGTAGTTTGGAAGTTAGGAGGAGGTGCGGGATTACCAAAACTGTTGTCCAGAGGGCTGAGGAAGGGTTGTTGAGGTGGTTCGGACATGTAGAGAGAATGGAGCGAAACAGAATGACTTCAAGAGTGTATCAGTCTGTAGTGGAAGGAAGGCGGGGTAGGGGTCGGCCTAGGAAGGGTTGGGGAGAGGGGGTAAAGGAGGTTTTGTGTGCGAGGGGCTTCGACTTCCAGCAGGCATGCGTGAGCGTGTTTGATAGGAGTGAATGGAGACAAATGGTTTTTAATACTTGACGTGCTGTTGGAGTGTGAGCAAAGTAACATTTATGAAGGGATTCAGGGAAACCGGCAGGCCGGACTTGAGTCCTGGAGATGGGAAGTACAGTGCCTGCACTCTGAAGGAGGGGTGTTAATGTTGCAGTTTAAAAACTGTAGTATAAAGCACCCTTCTGGCAAGACAGTGATGGAGTGAATGATGGTGAAAGTTTTTCTTTTTCGGGCCACCCTGCCTTGGTGGGAATCGGCCAGTGTGATAATAACAAAAAAAAAATGTGTTCTACCCTCTGATGTGACCTAACCTGCTGCCAGCTACTCAAGATTCAAGACTTCAGCTACCACAAGTTCGATGCAACAGTCCCTGCTATTCCTGTTCTTAAGTCTGCCCCACGATTGCCTTAGCTGCTGGGTTAAGCCCTGGCTCTCCAGAGCTATTCTTCGTCTGTCCCGTATTCCCCGCTCATCCCATTGGGATCTTACCTGAACTTGTTCGTTCATTCGTTCTCCCAGGCCTTTTCTGCATTACACTTGCCTTCCATTCTGAATTCATCATCACACAAAAAATCCAAGATTTACCCTATTTCTCAGATAATAAAACATAACCACGAATGATTGATCGTGATTTACAGTGTCCCAATAATTGAATCAGACCTAGTAAAAACCCATAAAACAGACCAGGAGGTGTAGAGGAAGCCTTACCCTTTCTCAGGAAAATCGGAATATCAAAATGTCTGCTACTTTGAGGCCGATTTCAAACAAGCTACTCCCAGTCCTGAAACCAACCAAGATTATCTCTGTTTAAGTAGTGTCTTCCATTCTATCAAATGATACCAAGAAGCAGCAGATAAAACAAAAATCACCTTAGAAAACAACTCAAATTCACTATTTTAAACCAAAGATGAGGTCAGAGTTTTACTTTTCCCATCATCCACTGAGTGAGGCAGGATTTTTTTTGTAATGTGCACACATGCTGCACAGACCCATTCTCTCATATCTAGTCCAAAATTTACTGCTCGCAGCTTATTTGAGTGAGCTGAGCTCATTACATAGATCTACGTGATGGACCTTGGTGTCAGTAATGTAGATCAATGTAATGGGCAGTGAAAGGGTAAAGTTATGATGAACTAAAACAGTCCTGAATTAATTCTGAACCATGTTCAAAATTAATCATCAAAATTAACCAATCTGAAGTAAAGAAAAAGAATGAGAGCAAGTTCCTAGGTCTGTTCATAGATAAATTAAAACGTAATGCTCAAATCCAGCTCATTAAAAAAAAGAACAAAATTTGGTATTATGTCCCTCAGTCTATATATAGTTACACTACTCTTCCTCTCTTGTTTACCCTTACCTCACCTAAAGTAATTTAATTATATTTTAAATTGTTGTTGTCATTTCTTCCTTGCTTTGTAATTATCTTGCATGATAGGCTCATTTTTACATTATTTTTACATTATTTTTATTTTTACATTATTTTTACATTATTTTTACATTATTTTTACATCATTTTTACAGCTTGAATCAGTAAATGCTCAGTTTTCACTAAAATTTGTAATACAGTGGTACCTCGGGTTACGAACTTAATTCGTTCCAGAAGGTTGTTCAAGTGCTGATACTGAATGAATTTGTTCCCATAAAGAATAATGTAAATTGGATTAATCCATTTCAGACCTCCAAAAATACACTCACAAAAGCATTTACAAAAATATGCCTACATGATTATTCAAGTTGGGAGCTGTTCGTGTGCCGAGGTAATTTTATATTTTAGTGTGCTGTCATTTATATACTATATCGTCCAAAATATTTTATATTTTTATTCTGTTAGTATTAGGCCTAGCTTTGATTGCCTGAGATTCTGTGCATAACTGAGCTTTTCCTTGTAAGCTATAGCATATGTTGTTAACCTACTACATATTATAACTGATCTTTCTTACTGGGAAATGTATATCTTAGATGTGACAGGAATTTATATTTACAACTTAATGTTTGATGCAGTACACTGGTTAAGCCTAGGTTAAGTTATCAAAGAACAAGGCATTTATTTTTTTTCAGCTATTTTGTTAAATAATTTAAATTTTTTTGAGGACAGTTGAGTAGAATAATTACAAAATTACTTTTTTCATTTTGAAATCTGTTTTTTATAGCATGAAGAAATTAATTTTTTTTTTCAAAAAACGGCCATACCCACCAAGGCGGGGGGCCCAAAAAAAAACGAAATTTTTTTTTTAAATTTTAGTAATTTATACGGGAAAGGGGGGGTTTCTACCCCCCTTGCTTCAGCATTTCAGTTCCCTTTTTAAAAAAGCATGGTTATGGGGGAAAGAACTGTTCCTTTTCCCCATGGAGAAAAGGGGAAAAAACAGGAACAAGAAAGAAAGAATATAAAAAAACCCCAAGGGGTGTTTTTTAATATGCTTGTACAGTTGTGTTGTGACCAAGTGTAAGTAAAAGTAGAAAGACATCCCTGTAATTTGCATTTTATGAGACAGAAAAAGACACCGCAATCCTCCATCATGAAAAAAATTTACAGGCTTTTTTTTTACACCGTTGGCGGATGGAGTACCCCCTGGGGATTGTGTCACCAAACCAAATCCATTAATTATAATTTTTTTAAAATATTTAGTAGGCAGGGAGGCAGGCCTTCTGTTTTTTTCCATTATTTCTAAACTTTTTTTTTAAAATGATTTTCTTATCTTTTCAGTGGTTTTATTTATCGTCACCAAAAAACAAATTGTGAATTATTTCGTTGTAGTTGTTTTTTCCCCCAGAAAGGAAAGGAAAGGGAATGTTCATGTATGGTGAAAAATTGGCTGGTGTGGTGTCTGAAATCCCACAACTTTTGAAACCATAAAATCTTTCTTTTCCCTTTCTCCCAATTTGTGGGTTAGTTATGATTCATCACGGTGTAATTTTCTTCATGAACTTTTAAAAAATATTATTTTTTTTTATAGTTTACAAGCCAAAGAAGCAGCCAAGACAATAAAGGCTACTTTGAAGCGTCGTAACACTGCTGAGCGATTTCTGTCTCTTCCTGGCTACTCAGATCATTGTGTATCTGAAGCTGGTGAGTGTTGTGTATTACCTCTCAAAATTGTTTTGAAACTTAAATAAATTTTCTCATTAAAGTGAGTTTATCAGTACATTCAATATGATATAAGGCCATACAGTATGTATTTGGATTCTTCCGTTGCAGTTACTCAGAGAGGATCACTTAGTATGTGCAGCTGTAAGTGACAGTGTGATGTATCTTGTATTGTAGTTTGATTTTATCATACATCTAGTTAATTTTTTGTTTCATAAGTATTTACAGCAATATAAAATTAAATATATAGCAGGGTAGCCTCTAAGATGCAAGAATATAACCAAGATTACTAGTAAAAATTTGCATTTGCTAAATTATTTTTGTGCGTATTTAATAATGCTTTGCTTTTCATAAGATCTATAATGGTTAAGAAAGAAAGTTTGTTTATTGCTGAAGCTTCTGTTCATAAGCCAGTGGGAAATTACTTTTATGTTTTTTCTGTTTCCTTTGATAGTATTGAGCTAGAGGTTGTTTTTAAGTTGTTCTGTTAAGTTTTTAGGTATGGCTAATAGTATTTACAGAATTACGAATATAAGTTTAAGTACTGATATGCTATTAAGGAAGCTGTAATCATGCATGATAAGATCTTTAAATTTCATGGAGCATATTTATGCCATGAATAAGAATCTGTTCTTAAGTGGTCATACAGTACATGTCTCCTATCAGCCCCTGAGAAAACAAGGCAACAGTACCGAGAACGGAAACGATCAATGGACCGTGTGCGTTCTCAAGACCGAGAACATAAACAGTCAACTTTAGAAAATTTGTCCAACTTAATGAGCACCTCAACAACTGTAGATTCTGATGAACGATGTGAGAGTCTGCCACCACTGTCGCCAGCTGTTAAGGTATTATCCTTGCAATATTGGATATGTAGTAGGATTATTTCTCAAGAGATAGTATTGAAGCTTAAGAGTAATCTTAATGTGCTGTATGTCTGTATCAGTGCCATACCCACTTTCCCTCTACTACAGATTTATATACCCTCCAAGTCATACTGTTTGGATTTATTCTCTCTAAATGACCAAACTACCTCATCAAGCCCTCCTCAGCCCTCTGGGTAATACTTTTAGTAACTCCGCACCTCCTGATCTCCAAACTACATACCCATTAATTCATTTTTATTTTTTATCGGAGGTATATGAGGATGTCAGTTGTTTGGGTACAGGAAGGGCATTTATGATCAGGCTAGCATCTTGACTAAATAGCCTCATGGTGTAGTATCATTTTCTTTTCAATGATATTTTTATGCACCTTAATTTAGCAAGCTTACAAGGTTAAATAAAATTTTTATAGGAGACATCATGCCCAAATACTGTGGATAGCTGTCAAGTTGTTTCTGGTTGCGTGGTCGAGTATACTGTGGTGTCTACTCTTCATTTACAGGTAGTAGAGTGACTTGCCTCATTTGCCTACAAAATGCTATTGTTGGGGAAAAAAAGGCAATGTCCTTAAATGCACTGCGAGTTTTTTGCTTGAGCCATGTTTAGTTGACCCATTTGGTGGTTGCCAAATTAGCAACTGCTCTCTCTTTCTCTCTTTAAAAACTTTTCTCTTCCCACTTTCCTTTTTTTTTATGTGCTTCTGACATTAACCTTTCTCCATTGCTGATATTCATTGATTCTATTTTTTCATATGAAGCTTTCCTGCTGCTTCTTCCACATTCTTTATTTTTTGCTGTCCTGCAAGTTGATGAATTTTGGTACACCAGTGAAATTTTTTAAAATAATACATAGGAAAGTATTTTGAGAGTTATTTGTGAGTCATGAGCTTTGAAAGTTCTTTACAAGACACCTTGCTATTGCAGGAAACAACTGTGTGATGTAGAATGTATTTCTGGGATAGATAAGGAGGCAGAGTTCTTAATTGATTAATACTTGTGTTTTTGTTATTGTCTTCATTATGACTTATCATCATCATCATCATTAATTATCAGTCAACATTAATGTCATTAGTATTACCACAACTTTCTTAGCATATTTTTTAGTGGTTTTTCAGATTGATTAATTGTGTGATATAGTGTGTTGCTTACATTTTGTATACTCATTTACCTTGGTGGGAGGTGGTCGTTAAGGGAAAAAAAATTTGTTTGTTACCTACCTGTATAACAAATATTCTAATGACAATGTGGCCCGGTGGCCTGGTGGCTAAAGCTCCCGCTTCACACACGGAGGGCCCGGGTTCGATTCCCGGCGGGTGGAAACATTTTGACATGTTTCCTTACACCTGTTGTCCTGTTCACCTAGCAGCAAATAGGTACCTGGGTGTTAGTCGACTGGTGTGGGTTGCATCCTGGGGGACAAGATTAAGGACCCCAGTGGAAATAAGTTAGACAGTCCTCGATGACGCACTGACTTTCTTGGGTTATCCTGGGTGGCTAACCCTCCGGGGTTAAAAATCCGAACGAAATCTTATCTTATCTTATCTTATCTTATCTTAGTAATCACAATAATTTGGCAAAGAATACATTGTGTACTGTAAATTGGTAGACAGCAATTATCCAGGGAGGTTTTACAGTCCTGTCATATGAGTGCAAAATGCTAGCCTGTTAAATGTTTTTAATCTGGCAGGATTCCTGAACCTGTCATATAGACTTGTGAACATGCAGGAAAACTGGAAAATCTTAAACATTTGCTTACCTTCAGTACATACACAGCTTTTTTTTTTTTGTGTGTGTGTGTATAATGATCCCAGGAAACAATACTAGATACTGCATTACATTTTTTTATGCATTAATATGATAGATTACCATTGATAAAAGTATCTTTTATGATTCTCATATTGTTCATATTTTGTGTATAACCTATACTGATACAGGTTCGTAAATTTTGGCAATATTTCAGTTTGGTCATACTGTAGTGCCAAAAAAATTCATAATATGTACAGCATCTCTGGTGTAACTAAAATCATGACAGTGTAGGATTTTAATAATAGTAGTAAGTATAATTTAATTATTTCATAAGAACATAAGAAAGGAGGAACACTGCAACAGGCCTGTTGGCCCATACTTGGCAGGTCCTTTACAATCCATCCCACTAACAAAACATTTGCCCAACCCAATTTTCAATGACACCCAAGAAATAAGCTCTGATAACTCTAAAAAGCTCTGTCTTCTCTCTAAAGAAAAGAGTTTTATGTCTGGGTTAGTGTAATGATAGCTGTGGCTAATCCTCAGTTTCATATATCAAAATTGAAATGTTGATAGTTTATAAGAAGTGTAGTGTTGGTGGTATAGTTTGGGATATATGGAAGTGAATCTTTGTAAGAATGTCCACTGTATTTTTTTTGCATTTTGGGGTATGTCTTACAGGTAAGTATTATTTTTAAGTTTAACTGGATGCCAGCTTATGTATTGACTGTCATCCTTTCTTTCCATCTGAGTATCATTTATCTTGTTAATTATGTGGCTTTTTTTTTTCCAGGTATTATGTGGTAGATATACCGTGTTGGGGGTGTGTCTTTTGTCGTAATCCAGTCCACAATTAACCCACAAATTGAAAATGAAAATCTGATGACCCTTTAGTCTATACTGGGCCATTGTCAAATGTTCTGATCTTAGGAACACAGGCCTTAAATGACTTCAGGGTTATCTTTAGCCCCAATTCTCTACCTGAGTTATGGCTTTTTATTGTTTTATTTCTCACTCGGAACTTGATAACTATTCAGAATGGTCCAAAAAAATTTCCAGTTTTCATTTTCAAATTGTTGTGAGGTGGGAGTTGTTTCAGTCATAGTGACATTTTATTTTTGTCACCCAGTAAAGATATTTTACAGTTCATCTTTTGATATGGTTTTTAGAAACTAAAGAGGAGTTTTAGGTGATTATTGGGATGTCATTAGCAAATAGTACTGGTTCAAAGTGTTAAATGGCATTTGATATGTCATTCATATAAAAAATAAACATCATGAGCCCCACGACACTGCTTTAATTTAAAGAATGCCAGTAGATAATTTTGATGAAAAAAAAGGTAATTTTTGGTCACATGTTGGTAGACAGCAACCACCCAGGGAGGTACTACCGAAAGCCTGTAATTGTTTTACATGATGGTAGGATTGCTGGTGTCTTTTGTCTGTCTCATAAATATGCAAGATTACAGGTACGTCTTGCTATTTCTACTTACACTTAGGTCACACTAAACATACATGTACACGTTTATTTATACACACTCATCTGAGTTTTCTTTGATTTTATCTTAGTTCTTGTTCTTTTTACTTTTCCTTTTATATCCATGGGGAAGTGGAATAAGAATCTTTCCTCCGTAAGCCATGCGTGTTGGAAAAGTCAACTAAAATGCCGGGAACAATGGGCTAGTAACCCCTTTTCCTGTAATTACTAAAAAGAATAAGAATAAGAAAATTGTCAAAGTGGGAAGTCTGAATGTGCGTGGATGTTGTGCGAATGATAAGAAAGAGATGATTGTGGATGTTATGAATAAGAAGAAGCTGGATGTCCTGGCTTTAAGTGAAACAAAGCTGAAGGGGGTGGGTGAGTTTCAGTGGAGAGGAATAAATGGGATTAGGTCAGGGGTTTCTAATAGAGTTAGAGCTAAAGAAGGAGTAGCAATAATGCTGAAGAATAAGCTATGGCAGGAAAAGAGGGACTATAAATGTATTAATTCAAGGATTATGTGGAGTAAAATAAAGGTTGGATGTGAGAAGTGGGCTATAGTAAGCGTATATGCACCTGGGGAAGAGAGAAGTATAGAGGAGAGAGAGAGATTTTGGGAAATGTTGAGTGAATGTGTCGGGAGTTTTGAACCAAGTGTGAGAGTACTTGTGCTTGGGGATTTTAATGCTAAAGTGGGTAAAAAGTTGTGGAGGGAGTAGTAGGTAAATTCAGGGTGCCAGGGGTAAATGAAAATGGGGAGCCTTTAATTGAGATATGTGTAGAAAGAGGTTTGGTAATAAGTAATACATATTTTATGAAAAAGAGGATAAATAAATATACAAGGTATGATATAGCACGTAATGAAAGTAATTTGTTAGATTATGTATTGGTGGATAAAAGGTTGATGGGTAGGCTCCAGGATGTACACGTTTATAGAGGGGCAACTGATATATCGGATCATTATCTAGCTGTAGCTACAGTTAGAGTAAGAGGTAGATGGGATAAGAGGAAAATGGCAACAACAAGTAAGAGGGAGGTGAAAGTGTATAAACTAAGGGAGGAGGAAGTTCGGGTGAAATATAAGCAACTGTTGACAGAAAGGTGGGCTGGTGCAGGTATGAGTAGTGAGGGGGGGGGGGTAGAAGAGGGTTGGAATAGGTTTAAAAATGCAATATTAGAATGTGGGGCTGAAGTTTGTGGTTATAAAGGGGTGGGTGAAGGAGGAAAGAGGAGTGATTGGTGGAATGATGAAGTAAAGGGTGTGATAAAAGAGAAAAAGATAGCTTATGAGAGGTATTTACAAAGCAGAAGTGTTATAAGAAGGGTAGAGTATATGGAGAGTAAAAGAAAGGTGAAGAGAGTGGTGAGAGAGTGCAAAAGGAGAGCAGATGATAGAGTGGGAGATGCACTGTCAAGAAATTTTAATGAAAATAAGAAAAAATTTTGGAGTGAGTTAAACAAGTTAAGAAAGCCTAGGGAACAAATGGATTTGTCAGTTAAAAACAAAGTTGGGGAGTTAGTAGATGGGGAGCTGGAGAAATTGGGTAGATGGCGAGAATATTTTGAGGAACTTTTAAATGTCGACAAAGAAAGAGAGGGGGTAATTTCATGTACTGGCCAGGGAGGTATACCAGCTTTTAGGAGTGAAGAAGAACAGGATGTGAGTGTGAGGGAGGTACATGAGGCATTATGTAGAATGAAAGGGGGTAAAGCAGCTGGAACTGATGGGATCATGACAGAAATGTTAAAAGCAGGGGAAGACAAGTGTTGGAGTGGTTGGTATTTTTGTTTAATAAATGTATGAAAGAGGGGAAGGTACCTAGGGATTGGTGGAGAGTGCGTATAGTCCCTTTATATAAAGGGAACGGGGGACAAAAGAGATTGTAAAAATTATAGAGGAATAAGTTTACTGAGTATACCAGGAAAAGTGTACGGTAGGGTTATTATTGAAAGAATTAGAGGTAAGACAGAACGTAGAATTGCGGATGAGCAAGGAGGTTTTAGAATGGGTAGGGGATGTGTAGATCAAGTGTTTACATTGAATCATGTATGTGAACAGTATTTAGATAAAGGTAGGGAAGTTTTCATTGCATTTATGGATTTAGAAAAGGCATACGATAGAGTGGATAGGGAAGCAATGTGGCAGATGTTGCAAGTGTATGGAATAGGTGGTAAGTTACTAAATGCTGTAAAGAGTTTTTATGAGGATAGCGAGGCTCAGGTTATGGTGTGTAGAAGAGAGGGAGACTACTTTCCAGTAAAAGTAGGTCTTAGACAG